CCACTGCCGCTCACACCCTCACACACACTGGAACATTTACCACTGCCACTCACACACACTGGAACATTTACCACTGCCTCTCACACACGCTGGAACATTTACCACTGCCGCTCACACCCTCACACACACTGGAACATTTACCACTGCCACTCACACACACTGGAACATTTACCACTGCCTCTCACACACGCTGGAACATTTACCACTGCCGCTCACACCCTCACACACACTGGAACATTTACCACTGCCTCTCACACACACAGATCAAGGTACGCAAGCAGTCTGGTGCAGTGGAAGATTTTGTATTGCCAGTGGTTATTTTTCTCACAAATGCAGAAATTCGGTTACTGAGTGGCATTCAAAAGATTTCATCGCTGACTCTATTTCCTTTTTAAAGAATGGCGTTATCCTTTGGTACTCAAGAGCTTCTTTCACTTGAAGTGCCCGCAAGTTCACACCTCTTATTGGGTCTTCTGCAAACTCCCCATGCAATATTTCAGACAGAAATCACGTTGTCATCATTATCGCAATCATCATCACCATCATCGACTAAACAATTCCCCTTTTTCTTGTTTTGTTTTTCTTTTTTCTTGAAACATAACAATTTGCACCATGTCAATACATTTTTACTTCATCATCATCATCATTGCCTTCCTCACCCTGCACCAGGGTATAGACCACAGACAAACACTTTCCACTTTACATTTTTACTTCACATACAAATATTGGCACCAAAATCAGGACATGGGACAAAAAAACAATACAAAAAAGACCCCAGACGGAAATCCCAATGTCCCAGTTTCACCTGTATACAATAACTCCTTCATAGTCAGGGGAAAGACTAACAGAACATCCCTCTCATTTGACACAGAAATTTGTTTACCGAGTGATGTTCAAAAGATTTGTTTGCTGACTCTGTTTTCATGAAAGACTGGCTTTATCCTTTGGTATCAGAACCTTCATTCAGTCAAAGTAAATACTTAAGCATCCCTCTACAAAATGTCACTTCTCCGGGAACTGAAAGTTCTGGAATCATGAGAGATAGTCACTGAATTTGTATGTTTCCTGTGACACGCATAAATGGTCACTTTTAAAGACAAGCGGGCCAACCCAGATTTCGGGGGATTCCAGAAATCTTGACCTACACCAAAAGTGGGCATTGGCCTACCTATAGGAGAAGTTTGGTTTCATTGGTGTGTATATTTGTTTGGTAATAGAAAACACTCTCCATGTTTTTTAATGAAACTGAACAAGGGGCAAAAACTTTACCTTTGATTTTCTCAGAACAGCATTTTTCGGAATAGCCCACTTGTCCTTAGAAGCGTCTGTGTTTGATTGGTCTGTTTACGTCCCTTCCTCAGCTCTTCAGCCTACAGATCGGCCTGCAGAGAATCAACGGGGAGGGTGTGGGTTCGAGACCTTTGACCGTGATGCCCCCTTGTAGCTTTGCTTTGTACCTAAGGTCTTTGCTACTACCCAAGTTGTGGTGAGTGTTTGTGTGTGTGTGAGTAAGAGTGTGTCTGTGTGTGTGTGTGTGTGTGTGTGTGTGTGTATGTGTGTGTGTGTGTGTGTGTAGCTTTGCTTTGTACCTGAGGTCTTTGCTACTACCCAAGTTGT